TGCACATGACGTCAGGCAGCGTGATGTAAGCCATGACGTCAGCAAGGAGCGTCCACGGGTATATTTTTGTGTATAAATAGAAGTGTTGTGTGTGGAGAAATCAAGAACTTGAAGAGAAATTTTGTGAGCTCCAAATTGTATTCTTCTCTTTCACTTTCAGATCTAAGTCTAGCTTTTGTTCTTACACTTTCATATCTACTCTTTGTGAGAGAATTATTGTAAAGTGGGTCAATTACCACTTATTCTTATTCTTATTTTTGTGAGAGATTTTGTAAGGGTAAGATGCATTTATTGTTGAGTGAGGCTCATAAGATGTATAGTATCGCTGCAAATCCACAAGCTTGGTGGTGTATTTATTCAATTGATAGTAAAGAAATTCTCAGGGGTTCTTGGGGAGTGGACGTAGGCCTGGCTGCCGAACCACTATAAATCGCAGTGTTTGATTTTTCTCTCTCTATCTCTTCTACTTTTATATTGATAATTATTATTCTGTTTTTTTTTATTTATTAAAATTCTGAATATTGTGTTATTTTTAATATTGTGAAATTTTTAATAACCCAATTCACCCCCCTCTTGGGTTGCCTATCTGGGATAACAAAGACGAATTGTTCCAGCAATCTAAAGATAATAATTAGATATGGCAATGTCTATTCAGAAAATGACTCAAGATTTCGTGAAGCTTGACCGATTTGATAGAGGAAATTTCTGATGGTGGCAAAAAAAGATACACTGTTTACTCACCACTCTCAAAGTGGTCTATGTGCTGATTACCCCCTATCGACGGAGTAAGAAGACAAGACCATGGAGCAAACCCGTACTAGAACCAAATGGGAGAATGATGACTACATTTGTCGAGGACACATTCTGAATGTGCTATCAGACTCTCTGTTCGATGTATATCAACATCTGAAAATGGCAAAGCAATTCTGGGACATATTACAGTCAAAGTACCTTACTGAGGATGTCACCAATAAGAAATTTTTTGTTAGTAATTTTATGGGTTTTACTATGATTGATACAAAGCCCATTATGGAACAATTCCATAAGATGCAAAGCCCATTATGGAATAATTTTATGAGATCCAACATATTCTGAGTCAGTTTCAACAAAAGAATATGAACATGGATGGATCTATTATAGTTTCATCTATAATAGAGAAATTGCAATCTTCTTGGAATGATTTTAAAAAAACTTTGAAACACAAAAAAGAAGATCTAACTTTAAAAGAATTGGCTCAACACCTCTAAGTTGAGAAAAAGTCAAGACTTCTTGAAAGTAAAGATTAGGGGTGAGCAGCGGATATACCGATCCGCCAAAACCGACCAAACCAAACCGATTCGTCGCATTTTGGACGGATGCGTGATGACGAGCGGATGGTTGCGGATTGATTTTCTCCAATCCGCCAATTTGGCAGACGGATGGCAGATTTGAGATTCTTTTGGCTGCAACCGAACTGCCAAACCGCGAGCACCCCTAGTAATTTATAAGACTTTGTATTTTTAATTTGTTTAAATATTTTGTTTATGTTTTCAATTGAAAAAGAGTTTAAATATTCTATTGAAAAAAAATTTCAACTTGAATATATTTTTTGAATTGAAAAAAATAAACGTATTATTTATCTATATTTTTTGGTTTTTAAATCTAACTATATATAGATGTAACAATACAAAGACATAAAATCTCTACTACTGCTCTGTTCATGATTTTGGTGGTTTGAATTATTTTTATATTTTAAGAACCACAGATTGTAATAATTTATGTGGATGAATCATGCTGCGATTGTAATATGTGGATGAGGCATGTAGTGATTGTGATATTCTAAAGTTTTAAAATTTCTTTCTTTGGATAAAGCATACAATGATTGTAATACTTTTTTAAGTCATTGACTATAATACTCTTTTTTTTTTTTTTTTTTTGAGGAAGTGCATAAGTTGAATTATGTTGAAAATTTATAAAATTTTAAACCACCAAACCGATTCACATCCATCCGCCAAACCGCCAATCCGCTCAATCCACATCCGCTGGATTGGCGGACGGATGCAGATTGATTTTCTCCAATCCGCTAATCTGGCGGACGGATGGCTGATTGGAGGTTCCGTGGCCACAATTGACCCGCGCCCACTCCTAGTAAAGATTCATACTTCTAAGATTCACATGATAGATGATGGCAAGAGGTTTAACACAAGGAAG